AGATGAGGTAATCTACAACATCAGAAGGACTCTTCGGGAAAGGGTAACCTTTCACTGAAAGCATCCAGTCACGAGCCTTGCGCCAGGTCCTTGCACGATTCCTGAGTGTCTTGGACCTCCGAGCTCCCAAGGCTCGGAGAGCATAAGAAACACGCTGCTCCTCATTCTCAACCGGAATGTCAACGATAGGAAGCTTTGCCTCCACCATGATCTGAACCAGGACAGTTCCCCAGAATTTCTTGGAAGATTTTTCTGCATCCGCCGGGGTCCCGGCGCCATTCGAAATCCATCTAGCATGTGCACGACTGGTCTGCTTGCAAAGATCAAGACTATTGCTCACGCACTGATCGAAGATATCACAAGGAGACACCGAATTTCCAGGGGTCGCTTCAATTCGTGTGGCCTTCGCAGTAAGCCTGCTTTGCACCCGCTTGAAAGGACCTGTGTGAGCAGTCATCCACTCCCAGATCTGAGATCCCAACCGTTTGTGGTCCGAAGGAATCGAACTCGGAGTGATCTGCTCTGCCAATCGCACAGCGTCTTCAACACTGTCCACTGCGCATGCCAGGTGCCAAGGAGTCTGAAAGTGAATGCGAAGCAAACCCACAGCACTGCAGCCCTTCTCTTCAAGAAGGCCCCACAGCCTATCTTCCATTGCGCGAAGAAGCCTGAAAAGGCGCCCCCCAGACACTAAAAGGACTAAAAGTCCCCTTCCGGTTGATCCAAAATGTGTCGGCGCGAGATATATCGTTGAACTGACAAGGGGCGAATAGCCCACAATTCAAATACCATAAAATCACTAACAACTGAAATGATGAATCAAAGATTTGGAAAGTACCTCCTTTGAGGAGGAGTGTTAAAAGGTAAAACTTCTTCAAAATCATCCTCACATAAATGTTTCGCAAAAGGGAGAACTGAAATGAATCGCGTGAAAAGGAAACTGAAAACTGCAAGCAACTGACATGACTGACATAACTGACATGACTGAGAGCAACTGCATGTAGGCCGTGGACCGAAGCACGATGGCTGAGGCGTACAGAACTGAGAGTGGTCTCAAGCCCCCATTGTTCCCCCCCTCCCCCCCGGGCCTCCTTGGAACAAACTGTTTGGTCCGCTTCGCTACCCAAACTAGGCTTGTCCCTTGAGCCTGATGCTGGTTCCGATGATTCGGCAGGCTCAGGTGCGTCACCAGATGGTTCTGGTGGATCAGACCTTCTAGCAGAGGATTCTGCGGGGTCTGGTGGAGGTGCTTTCTTCTTGCCTGGAATGCCCTTGGGTGGAGGATCTGCCGCACCTTCCGGTGCTTTGTCACATCCCTTCAGGAAAGTGTGAGGCTTCTTTTGTCCTGCACAGGCCGGACAACGACCTTCAGGGATCTTTGTGTAAGATCGCCTATCTTCCTTTGGCTTCTTGGCTCCTAAGGCAGTTTCTGTTGCTTGAAAAGAAGAACCTGACTTGTGCGTGCGAGTCAAACCCACAACCCACCAGCCACCCCCTAAGCACCACCAGGTACTGTGGCAGGAGCAGATATTTCAAAAGCCCAAAGGCGGAAAATCAAGATATATAAAATCCGGAGTCCAATATCTTTCATATGGAATTGATGCAGCAGCACTCAACGGAATGACATGAATGTGAACATGCTAACCGCTGTTACGCAAAGTCGGACATCTCTCATTTTTTCCCGAAGGATGGATCGGAGTTCCCATTCGGCGAAGAGCACATCTATGACCGTAGCGCTTTAAGCGAAAACGGTCCACCCTTGCATCAAGATGCATCGAGATGTGCCCAGCACCAGGGTTGGGAGGGTGGGAGCTTCAGAACTCACCACTTGACCCTTGTGGCTACAAGTGCAAATCATGATTGTCATGATGCATCAGCCCAAAGTAAAATGATGCTCTCAAAGGTACAAAGAGATAAATTCAAAATCTTGGGAAAAAGGAAACCTTGTTTTCTTTTCCCGAAGCGACGGTACATCAAATGTACCGAGAACACGTGGGTTTGAAGGGCACACACACTGACGCAACAAGTCGCGAACGCGTGCGTGCGGGTCAAACCCACAACCCGCCAGCCACCCCCTAAGCACCACCAGGTACTGTGGCAGGAGCAGATATTTCAAAAGCCCAAAGGCGGAAAATCAAGATATATAAAATCCGGAGTCCAATATCTTTCATATGGAATTGATGCAGCAGCACTCAACGGAATGACATGAATGTGAACATGCTAACCGCTGTTACGCAAAGTCGGACATCTCTCATTTTTTCCCGAAGGATGGATCGGAGTTCCCATTCGGCGAAGAGCACATCTATGACCGTAGCGCTTTAAGCGAAAACGGTCCACCCTTGCATCAAGATGCATCGAGATGTGCCCAGCACCCGAGCACCGCCGAAGCCGAATGTATCCGAAACTCACCACCTCGTGCGAGGCTTCTTCCGACTGGTGGCCTTCGCCATCGGATGCCTCTTGTTGTGCGCCGCAGCCTTCGCTGCAACAAGCTCACCATGAAAACCATTTGCCGACTTCAAGAGGTCCCCCAGAATGATCCAATCAATCTGGTCGCCCAGAATCTCCAACCTCTTTGAGGGATCAAAACGATCGAATCGAAGATTGGTGAGGTCGTCCGCCCACACGTTAGACTCCCTAGGAACCCATGACAAGTCAAGAGAGAGGTTCATCCCCCGTAGCGTCTCCGAGAGCTCAATCAGCAGCAAGGGCAGAGGATACCGTGTTGACATCAGTTTGGATACTGCATAGGAGTTCCCTTGATTGTCCGTGCCACCGGTGATGTGGCCGCATCCCCCACCACTGCCCTTCATCTTGGCACCCCAAAGTTTGACGCAGATGAGAGTGCCCAAGAGTTCCAGACTCGCAATGGTGCGCTTCAGGTCCCCCTTTACGTAGGCCCACGGTGCCCAGGATTCAAGGACCTCCAGAGCGAACCACTGCAGCGCCGATTCCCCGTCCCACAAGTAGCCGCCGATCCATGCGCGGTCCTCCTCGGCCTTGGCGTCCGAGTAGAAGCTGAACTTGTTCATCCTCTTTTGGAGCCGCTCCGGAGGCGGTTCCTGGAGCCGGTCCTCTCCCCGGAACCTCTCCGACATCCAATGGAGAATTGTCCTTAACATGACCGGGATCTTGAGAAGCCCTCTGCTCCCCCGCGTGGCCGCCGACCAGGAGTAAAGAGGACCGAGGAACGGTCTCTCCCAGGAGAGGGCGTTCGCTCCAAATCCCAGTCTGCCCAGGCCGCATGCAAAATCATCCCAAGTCACGCTGCCCTCTCGAGAGATGAGCAAAGTCCAGTCAGCGAGCCAGGTCGCCCGTTGCAACGAGATTCCCAGCCGGAAAGAGCTGTAGGATGTCTCATAGCCCACCCATTGGACCGTCAGTCCCCCTTTTGTCTTCGACCACTTGAAAGGGAAGCCCAATGCAGCCAGGAGGGCGTATGAGAGGACAATGCCCCTTCTCCCCGCCTTGTCGCCCCCGATCATCTCCACGTCGTCGGCGTACAAAAGGATCTCCAGGGCTCGCCTTCCAGTCAAGTGATGGATGAGCCTGATCGAACCTCCAGAGAGTCTCGCCCACCAATAGCCCGCGCAAGCGAGGCCGAATGTGCCCACGCAGTTCAAGTAGACAATGGTGTCCCTGGAGGAAGCTTTGCAGCCCAAGTATCCCCACTCATCCCGACGGTGCCGGTATCTCCTGTGTGCCTTCGCGATGTCGCCGGTGACCGTCATCGGAGCCATCCGCTTCTCCTTGAGGCGGCGCAGAAGGCATCTCTTCTCCCGGGCTCCGGGAGATCTCACTTTGTCAAGACAGCGGATCCTGTGGTTCAGCAACACGTCGTGCGATGCATCATGTACTATACGCTGCTTTAGCGGCGGGCCCTCTTCAGTGAGCACCGCGATGGCAGAGATCGCCACTTCCTCTCCATACGTAGCCCAAAACTCAGCCTCCCCCATCCGGACCATCAAGCCTTCCTGCACTTCTGCTTCGAAGTGCTCCCTGACAAAGTCCAGGTTCTTCTCGGCCGACTCATAGTTGGCTCGAAGCCCTTTATAGATCCGGTCATCCATGACAATCAAATATTTGTATCAAGAATAGAAGTCTCGATCAAATATCTCCGACTTGAATCATATAAAGAATTGTTGACCATATATGTTGGTCCAGGCAAATATGTACAAGCGATAAGAAATTGATGCAGAAACGCTCACACTTCTTTTCACGGCACAGCCGAGAGTCAAGGGGAGTTTTCACGGAAAACACAAGTGCACACGTGTGCACGAGGCACTAAGAGTGCCCCTCCACCTAAGTCGAGGCACCAAGCGTGCCAGCTGATCAGGTCGCACGTGGAGTGCAACGTGACCACAATTCTCCCCCCCAGGGCGGGTTGGGTGGGATCAAAAATTTCTGGCTCGATCTCGAGACAGCTTCGACGGTTGCAGATCCAATCGTGACCAGGTGTCCGTTTTATCGCACGGTTTAAAAATCGTTGCTCGACAGGAGAAACGAAATCATGCAACAGCGATTGAAAGTTGTTAAAAGTCTGGAGTGTAAAGCACTACTAAGAGTAGCGCAAAGATTGTCATGGCCCAAAATTTTGCTCCCTACAAAATTTCGTTTGACCTAGGATCTATAAAACATCGACACGCACGCGTGAAGTGATGCTTATAGATCCGGTCATCCATGACAATCAAATATTTGTATCAAGAATAGAAGTCTCGATCAAATATCTCCGACTTGAATCATATAAAGAATTGTTGACCATATATGTTGGTCCAGGCAAATATGTACAAGCGATAAGAAATTGATGCAGAAACGCTCACACTTCTTTTCACGGCACAGCCGAGAGTCAAGGGGAGTTTTCACGGAAAACACAAGTGCACACGTGTGCACGAGGCACTAAGAGTGCCCCTCCACCTAAGTCGAGGCACCAAGCGTGCCAGCTGATCAGGTCGCACGTGGAGTGCAACGTGACCACAATTCTCCCCCCTCTCGACTATGAGTTACGTTGCTTCAAGCGTTTCACCTGTGACAAAGCATGCCGGCGTATCACGAGTGAAAGGTCCAAGGAACGACAATTCGTCCCATCTGCCACGCGACGGTGGGTCTGCGATGTTGCTCTGGCTCGGGACACGATGAAACCAGGGCAAGCACGGGCGTGCTTCGTCGGCAGCCTCCAGATGGAGGAGAAGGCTCCTCCAAGATGCATCGATCGAGTTCGAGTTGATACAGGCACTCAACACACCGGAATGGTCGACGAAGAATAAGCACCTTTCGCCATCGATGTAACTCGACCATAAGATCCTGGCGAGCACGACCGCATAAAGCTCGACTTGCCCTATAATGTGTTTCCTGCCCTCGGCCCATTGCTTGACAAGCTTGCTCGGAACCCTGCAGCCGAAAGCCCTGGCCACCCCTTTGCTGGGAATGAAGATGACACCTCCAACGCCGGTGGTGAAGCCGCCCTCACACGGGTCGCATGCGCCATCTGTGAAGATGAGGACTGGATTCGAAGGCGGGCTCGCAGCAATGGCGCGGGGTCTGCTCGCAAGAAGTCTCGCCCTCAGAACGGCCAAGGCATTCGATTGTGAGTCAGTCAGCTGAAGGACACCCCCTTTATCGCCTAGGAGCCTAAGGTCAGCAAGGGCCAGGCGCCCCGTGCGACCGAGCAGCTGAGCATCCGCAAAGCGAAGTTTACCAAGGAGGGAAGGCAGCTCCCTCGTGTCCACCTGGCCTTGTTCGAGGATGCGGCCTACGGACCCCTCGAGCATGGCAGCCCGTTCAGGCTTGTTCGATACGAAGATGTGCCCCATGTCAGGATCAGACGTATCTAGCACAACACCCAAAGTTTCTGCGGTGCATGAGAACGGCTTCTCTTTCTCGGACAAGGAGAAGCCGAACAAGTCCATGAGGGCATGAACCGCATTGTCCGTTCCGCCCGACAAGAAAGAGGGAGTCATCGTCGGGAAGTCGTCGTAGTAGCAAGTCACAGCTACCCTCAGATCCCAAAGAACCCTTTGCAAGAATAACGCCACCCTGTTGAACTGCATAACCGAGGCCGAAGCCCCGAAGGGCAGAGTATTGCACACAAAGGCCTTGACAGCGCGGGAGCCGGGCTCCCGGAGCAGGATAATGGATTTCGACCTTTCCCCAGGGTGCAACGCAAGCTGCTTGTATGCAGCATGAAGGTCATATGTCTTGCAGTGAGGACGAACACGGTCGAGGTCCTTCCACGCAGTATGGACAGGCCCCCTGAGTCTCTCACCCGAGCTGAGTTCCAGATCAAGAAAGCCCGACTTCTTAGCGGCGCGGAAAACTTGCATGCACAGCCAACAGATTTCATCAAGAGCTTTGAGAGTGACGCGTTCAAAACACCCGAAGCACGCATTCACCGCAGCTTCCGAGAAGTCATCAATGGCACGCCATTTGCCCTGCCAGACTGCAAAACGCCGGCAGGCGTTCCAACCGTCGGGGAACATGCTCCCCAGAGAGTCGACATCGATCGGGCCGTCAAGCCAGCTCTTCCCAGACTTATCGGACTCTTCAAGCGTCATGTTCCAGAGCTCCTCGGCATAGTCATGGTCCTTTTGGCCCTTGACTTTTTCAAGAAGAGTTTCCCTGCGAAGCGGGGCGCTCGACCAAAATTCATCAAGGTCCATCGTGGCAGGCTTAACGTCACTAGCAAAGACCCCCGTGCGCCCTAAGTAACCAGTTAATTTAAAACCGGCGGCAAGGTCGTCGAAGAGAGTGGTGTCAGGCCACGACAATTCTGCAGCAACGCTCTTCATGAGCGCTATACGCTTGTTGCCGAGGACCTTCCGCACACACGGATCCATGGCCGACCTGATTCTCTCTTCTTCGGGCTCAAGCTGTTTGGCAAGGGCACGCCAGTGCTGCAGCTTAAGAAGGCGATGTTTCATCGTATCGACCGGACCCTTAGTGAGTGTGTCGAACAAGACTCGCAAAAGTTCATCTGGGAGTGACCTGGCGGAATCAAACGGATGCACGACTAGCTTTGCTTCGTTCAAGAAGGCCTGCATGGACCGATACACTCCGAACACGTAGAACTTGTTGCCCTCAGGGAGTCGCGAACCTCCCCTCTCCACTGACTCCCGGAGGAGCTTTGAACCTGCAGGGACGCCGTTCCATGCAGATGACAAGCAATGTTTGGAATTGAGAGTGGGGGCTGCCGCGCTGCCAACGGAAACTGTATAAGCAAATTCAGAAATGATCGGTGGGAACTTTCGCCCCCTTGGCTGCACCTGACCAGCGGCGCGTGCAGCAGAGACCTTTGAAACAGTCAGTCGTTCCGGCGCAATGCCCTGCAAGGTGGCCGACTTGTCCACACAGGAGATGATCCGTTCACAAAGAAGCTTAGGATACCCTGTCTCTGCAGCGGTTGCAAAGGTGCGACCTTGCTTACCCCATGGGAGATGCGAGGAGCAGCCGGGACAGGGTCCCGAAAGGCAGTGCAGGAAGTCAGAATTGGTGAGAAGGGCCGTGGCCTTCTTGCGTTGCGAGCCGTGCCGGCACGAGTCAAATGTGACAAAGGAGTGCCGTTGGACCATTGCGGCCCACTTCGGGAATTGCCAAAGGTAGCTGTGCAACGGGTTCTCAACAGAGAACGGGATATGAGGCATGGATCGAAGCAGCCAGTCGCAGAAGGACTCCATGTTGTCGTAGATGGAGTTGGCACTCTCAACGCGAGCTTGATCTACCTGTGAAAGGCCAGGGAGCCCACGCACATGATGATGCGACCGAAGCGGTTTAGGACCGGGCCCACATTCGCGAGCCCTGCTTGCAGTACCGCATGGAGGGGCCATGTGGATCCAAGCGACATGGTATTCTGAGCAAATGCGCCGCAAGAATGACCACGTGCTGGCGAGGCGGAGATCAAGCTGCAGAGCATGTACACATGAGCGTTGTTTGTTGTGATGCCAATCGATTGGCACAACAGTGTAGCCTGCCTCCTTGGCGACATAAGACAGCATAGCCGACCCGCTACAAATCTCTAAGAACAAAGGCTTTGCATGCCGCGAAGGCGACACCTTGGCATCCTGGGATTTCAAGCGTTTACAAGGCGGGTCGGCGGCCGGGGGGAGACTAGAACCCAAAGGGACGGAGACCGAAGGGCTAGACCCAGAAGTGGCAGGCTGGGGCGGAGATTGCGCGCCAGTAGACTGCGAAGTCACAGCGGCGGATCCACACGGAAAGCCCAACGGGAGCAACTCGGAAGGTTGCCCACCTGAAAGAGTATAAAGTGTCACGACCCATCGCTCGCCTGTGTAAGGCATTGTCTTATGCCACAAGTCGCAAGAAAAACTTGTGGGGTTGCAAAAAGTGTCCACAACTCTGCCCCGGATCTGCCCGCCTGTGGGACTCGTGGCCGCGGAAGTGCCTGCTGCATCTTCAAGCCAGAGCTGGCCGCCTTGAAAGGTGCCCAGCGAGAAGGTATGGTTCAAAGAACCCCGTTGGTTGCCGGAATCCCTGTGAAAATCCGACAGCGTATTCTGGCCCACACAGATTGCATTCCAGGACGCCTGAGGCACAAGTGCTTTGACGGCTGAATTCAGCTGCTGGACAAACTCTCGCATCTGCAGCGTGGCGTTTGTAAGAAGATGGGGACAGCTGGCTCTGGGCCCGAAGTTGTAGTACCCCGACTGCGTGGGGTTCGCCGAAGAAACAGACTTGCGTTGCAGCACAGAGTCGGGCCAATTGGCGCTTCGAAGCAATTGCAAAAGTGAAGAAAACTTGTTCGAATCCATACTAGCACTCTGCTGACACGGATCAAGAACTGCTGAAGGAGAACTGTTCGGCGCAGGCGGAGCCTGCGGTGGTGCAAAACTTTGCCCAGCCAAGCCTGGGCTGTCTCGACTCTGAGTCGAGAACTGCGAGCTGCCGGGCTCGCTCTTCGACTGTCACTCTTGCTTTTGGCTAAGAGCCTCAGCACGCATCGGACAGTCCAGTGCAGGATGCGATTTGCCGCACTTGGGCCATGCGCAGATGTGCAATCCGCGCACGCAGCGACCACGAGTCACAGTTTCCCTGCACGTTTTGAGTCCATACCCAAAACATATGTTTTCACCTGCATTGGTGCAAGATCTGCAGCCCGCAAGAGCGGCAGGAACTTTCCCGCTGCCTTTGGTGCCCTTGGCACCTTTCCCTGTGCCCTTCCGGCCTTTGCCCGGACGATCATACGGGCCCGGCCCGTGCGGCCTCGGCGGCGGTGCCACCTGCTGCGTGACTGAAGCGCCTGCTGCCCGAGGCATCGGCTGAAGCAGATGAAGCACCTCTGGTGACTGCCACGTGCTCTCGAAGATGGTGTCCAATGGACGCCCCCCAGCTTTGAGCTGGATGCCTGAGCGAGTCGCTTCTCCGAGAAGCTGCCAAAGCTTCCTATCAGCCTGCTGGCACTGATCAAGTGTGGGCTGCATGTGCGTCGACGGAGGTGCGTCGAGGCGCGCTGCAAGAAGGCGCTCGACCCACATGTGGTGACGATGGTAGTCAAGGATGTTCGCCATTTCCATAGCGATGCCGCGCCTCTGAAGCGCGAGCTGCAAGAGCAGCTCCGTGCTAGTGTCGGCACGGACCTCAACCTTCGTCTCCGACCTGAGCTTGCCCGTACTGTCCAGCGAGAAGAAAGGCTCTCGCTTTGCCCCTGTTGAGGCCTCTTGTTCTTTGGAAACAAGCTTCTCCCACGGGACAAACTGCAACTTGTCCTGCTCATACTGCGACACGAAGGAGTCGACGAGGCTATCAGCAGGCTCAAGACGATTCTTGATCGAAAGGCCCACAAGGCGTTTGCTCACTACCTCGAACCGCTCAGATCTCTCTGGGACGCTCAATTTTCTTGGGATGGATTCATCCGTCCGCTCCACAAGCATCTTCATTTCCGAAGTGGTAACAGCATATGCTTCATGAAATAACCTTCGGAAGGAGCTTTTCTGCCCTACAGAGGGCGGCGTCCCGAGGGCCGACTCGAACGCCGCGATGAGGTCCTTGTCATCGCCAGAGCCCGGCGTGTAGCTCGTCATGAAAGCGACCTTTGCGAGTGAATCCACACCCACCTTCTCGAGTTTTTCGACATCCGCAGATGCCAAACCGACCTGGGCACATCGTGATTTGAACACTGGCCCCGACTCGGAGAAGGCCGCCATGGTGTGCCGCTTGGACCACTACGAGCTGAAAGCAGCTGCAGGAGGGCTTTGCTCTGCATCAAATCGTTCTCTTGCAGGACACGACACCCTCCAGATCTCCGCTCTTGCACGATACCCTTAATGACAGCACTTGACCGGCTTGTGGAGCGCACGTGCACGGCATCACCATTTTGCACAAAATTGCAGACACGAGCCGGATGCAGAGTCATGTGCCCTGCTGCACAATCAAGTACTTCCTGAAGCACTGCTTGCACCTTGGATGCAAAATTGCGGGTCGCGCCTCCAGCTTCCTGTACTGACCCGAAATGGCCCTACCGCAGCCCAGGTTGGCACCGGCTTCGTCGGCAGTGATGTGCACTACCCTGGATTGGCGATGCCGAAAGAAGACACAAGAGGGATCAATCTTGTCGAGATCGACCTTCCCATGCCAGTCCAAAGCCTCAGCAGCACAAGCCTCGTCTCCTGAGTGGTCAATCTCCTCCTCGTCCTCGGAGCCCTCAGAGTCTGACGACTCGATCTCATCGCCAGGGGGGTCGGCAGTTGCCGACAGCTCGGAAGCAAGTTGCTGCCCCCCCTTGGTTTGTCAGGCTTGAAAGTCCCGGACGAGACCTCGTCGATCATAGATGACAAAGCCCTGAGCGGAGCCGACTGGGCATCGGACTCATAGATCAGCTCTGATCCCGCACCCGAGGCTCGGGACGTATGATACCCCAAGAGGGCCCTCTGTTCTCTGGGCAGACCACGCTTGCTTGCCCAACTCAGCAAAGTTCTCTTAAGGCTATGTGTTCCCACATTCGCAAGGTAGGGATCGCTCTGAGCGTTCCCCAGCAGGCTCCTGAGCCACGAGCACGCCTGATCACACGGAAGCGGGACCATCTTCCAAGAACCATTCGAGGAAGGGCAGGGGAGCAGCGGGTCGTTCTTCTTGATCGTAAGACCCGCTTCTGCCATGGCCTCAAGCCAAGCATCGGCCCATGCACAACTGACGCCCAACTTCCTGGCAGCCATCGGCAAGTACCTGGTCTTGCGTTCCAAAGTGAAACTCGTCTTGGACCTGCCCACACTGCACTCCAAGTAGAGCGGCGAGTCAGTCAGCGATGCTACATTTTGCCCGTCACTGTATCTAGCTCTTGCATAGATCAAGAAAAGAAAGAAGCCTGCAGCGATGCGGTCCTGCAAAGACCTGTTCTCAAGCTTGCAGCAAATCCTTTCAAGAAGAATGACATCGGAGACCCTGAGGGGATTCCGCTGCTTGAGCTTCCTCTTCTGCATGAAAAGCTTCGACGCAAGGCCGCGGACGCGACCCGAAGTGTAAACCTTGTCACACCCTTCCAGGCCCACCACATGCTGAGCAAAAGCAACGGAAGAAAGAAGGCTCCTGAACGATGTCGCGGCTGCTGTCGATTTCTTCTCCTCGAAGTATGCATATACAGCGTGCTCGGTCAAGGGAAAAACAAACGGCATGTTCCCCTTTGCCCAAGAAACAAACCGCAACAAGCAATTAGCCCTGGCATTGATCGTCGAAGTGGCCTTGGCAGCAAGGCAATCCGAAATGCTGTCAGCAAGTGATCCCGAAGAGATCCCCGACGCCTTGCCGGCGTAGAAGTTCCTAGCTACACCGAAGGTCAAGGGCTCGACCATGACCAGGCTGAGCCACTTATTCACGGCAAGATTTCTTTCCTCGTTGATCATAACCTCCCAAGAAGTGTGTTTGAACTTGGCCATCTTGGCACACACCTGTTCAAGCCCTTCCGACCTCACGAAGCGAGGGATCGGCACGGCCGGCTGATCAGCAGAGGGGCTCACTGGGACTACAAGGGGCAGAGGTCCAAGAGGAGGCGGCAGGCGGGGCTTAGGGTCATGGGCCAAAAACGAGTTCCCCCAAGGAGTCTTCCACACTGACTTGGAGTCTCGCAAGCAAGATCTAAGATGAAGGCCAAAACTGGATGCAAGGGAGCCTCCTTCATCCCCCATTTCACTACGGCTCCCTCAAGCAGACTGCTCGCGCGGTTCAAGAAAGGCTCTGCAGGCGTTGCGCAATCCCTGGATGATCCCCTCAAGCCACGAGAGGCGTTGGTGATGACCCGTCTGGTTCACCCAGACGCGCGCAAGGGACTCCTCCAAAGTCTGCAAATCGGACCTGAGGGCTTGAACTTGAAGCCTCAGGGCGTTGACCTCCAATTGGAGATCGTAAATGTGCTGACTGTGAAGCTCGCGAGTGCTAGTGGAGCTGTCCTCGGAGCGATGAGAAGACCCGTCGGCGAGCGCGTCGCCGAAGTCCATCTGACGCCCCGCACGGATAGCGGGGAGTCGTGACGCCCTAAAGCAAGCACTTAAGGGGCCTGAGACCTGCTAGGACGCCGTTACAAGCCCCTAGCGGAGTCCCGATCAAAAATTTCTGGCTCGATCTCGAGACAGCTTCGATGGTTGCAGATCCAATCGTGACCAGGTGTCCGTTTTATCGCACGGTTTAAAAATCGTTGCTCGACAGGAGAAACGAAATCATGCAACAGCGATTGAAAGTTGTTAAAAGTCTGGATTGTAAAGCACTACTAAGAGTAGCGCAAAGATTGTCATGGCCCAAAATTTTGCTCCCTACAAAATTTCGTTTGACCTAGGATCTATAAAACATCGACACGCACGCGTGAAGTGATGCTTGCCCCGAGATGGGCCACCATGATCGCTACGAGCTTCTCATGCAGCGTTGGGTCGGAGACCAGCTTGCACCCGGCCTCTCCGCGGGTCGCCATCTCGAAGGTCGCACGATCCAGTTTCCGCTCATCCCCCGCGTGCTCCAGCAGGGCCTCCTCCGCAAGATGTCCCAGCCCTCGGCCGCACAGTATCGACGCCGCTCGGGATCCCAGCGCCCCGGCGAGCAAAGGCCCGCCCCATCGTGGAAAGGCCGGCTCCCCCAGGGCTCGTGGCACACCCGCGCCGGCCCGTCGCCACCCGGCACGGGTGGCCATGTTGGATCTATTTCCGGCTCTGCCCCACCAGACAGCTGCCCCGAAGGCAGGACGCAACTTCTCTCCATCAAGATCTTCTTGTCCGCCGGCGCGAGCTTCTCGGGGTCCTCGATGGTGTAGCCGGCCAGCACCAGCCTGGTCCCAGTCCATGGTTCCGTCGTGTGCCACTGCTGCGCATTGAAGGTGATCCTTCCCTGCTTCCACTCCCGGACAGTGCCTCCCACGTTCCAGCCCTGCACCGGCCTCACGTCGGTACCTTCGCCTTGCACCCAGAGCCCGCCTCGCTCGAAGGTGGAGCAAGCTAGCAGTAGGTTGTCCCAGGGCCCATTCGAAGAGTCTCGGTGCAAGGGCTGCTTGAGATCCCTGAAGAGCGCCAGTGAAGTGAAAGGTCGTCCTGGAAAGGCTGCCGCCATCACCCTCGCCAGTAATTCACTGCTCCAGCGGAAATCCTGCAGGTTTCGGCGGAGACCCGCCTTCCCCTCGTGCACATAGCCACCCGTCGTAAATGATCTCTGTCCCTCCACGCGGACCTCAGACTTGCGGATCCTGGACTCATCCGGAAGGCTAGCCGAAAGCTGGAGCAGGCCCTCCTCCGTGATGAAGCCTTTGCGAAGGGCCTCCAAAGCCAAACGCTCGGCCTCTCCCAGGTGTTCCCTTTGCTTCCGGACGCATCGCTGCTGAGGGCTCGAAGCGAAAAATGATCTCCCCCGCGTCATCTCTCGCCAAGTCCCCCAGGTCTGCCTCTGGCTCCAAGTTTGACACACCCCCTCCGGAGGCGATGGAGGCAGAGGCCAGGTAGTCGTTCAAGATGGATTCGGCCGTCCATTTGCACATGTTCGCCGGCCAGCGCTCGGTGCCCGTGGTGGCGAAAGGCATCCCCGAGCGGGCCTTCATGGCAACTGCCCAAGGATGTCGCTGCAGCGGTCCAGTGTAGAAGCCGCGGTCGTCGAAGGTTGGCAGGCCCTGTCGCATGAAGGCCGGGAACGCAGTAGCAACCTCGTAGGCTTGGGGAAAGTAGTGCCGAAATCAGCTTGATGAAAGGCGACGTGCCGCACATCTTTGTGGTCCGCGAGACGGCGGAAGGAAGGACGTTGCCACATGGACGACGGCCGCTGCCCCAATGCCACAGCTCCAAGATCCTCTGGTTGTTCCAGCAGCACGAAGGAAGAAGGCAGATCCAAGCCCTCCCCTGCCACCTGCATAGCGAAGTCGGCGAGGTATTGCCCAGGCGCGCTTTCCGCCGCTCTGCCCAGCGTAGGTGAGGCAACCCATCCGGATGTGCATAGGAGCGCAGAGGACGCGGTCCCCTCTTGTTGCGCCAGGGGGCTCGACTGAATGTCGAGCACGGTGGGCTCAAAATGATGGCAAAGTAAGTGCCATCCCGAACTTTCCGAAGATAATGCTGTTGGGTTTCGGTTTGAGACAAGTCGACAAAAGGTTTACGCAAAATATCAACAGCCTCCACCTTAAGTGGAACGCCATAACTAGGTGCCAATTTTGCAAGCCAAGCTTCCAACGACCCCTTTCGCGGTCGTCCTGAGAACAGGTAAAGAATGCGAAGCTCGCCGTGAAACGCTGCTCCCCCATCTGTGCCGAGTCAGCTCTTGCCGGCCGTGTCGCCAGCTGGCTTCCGCTTGGTGCATCCCACAAAGTTGTGATTCGGATCGAAACAATGGCTGCACACATGCTTGAACTTGCAATTCGCCAAGGAGCATCCCTCTTCAGTGTTGAACCTGAAGCAGATTGGCTCGCCTGAGCGCGTGGTTGCATGGCCCTTGAAAGTGCGAGCGTTGCCACGACCCTCGCCCTTCTTGCCCTTCTTGCCGCCCTTGCCCTTGGTGTTGCCAGGCGGTTCCAAGTGTCCCGAGACGGCATGGTAGCATCCGGACGACGCTTGGCGTAGAGAGCCAAAGGGGTCGAAAAGTGACGCTCTTTCGTCACTGGGTCCTTCCAGGCCCGCTCCCATGCAGCCGCAATCGCGATGTTGTCCGTGACCATGTAGTGGAATGCCTGCTTCCTGATGGCCTGTTCATATGCGAGCACAAGCTGCCACGGAGGCGTATGCACAACAGCATCACCAGCGTCCTTGGCCTGTAGATTATGAACATAATCACCAAGCAAATATTCTTTATATCGCTCGAAAAGATCGAACGAGAGGTCCTGCAGATCTTTGCGATTCGGGAACTTCAGCCTCAGCATCAAGTATGCGTTTCGCATGATGTTCAAGCGTCTGCGCAGCTCCTCAGGATTCGATGGCAGCGGAACCCGCGAGGACCCCCGCTTCACAGTCATAACTCCTTTCGAGTCCCAAACTGGCATCAAGGTGTCAGGATCCAGCTCGTCACGCGCGGTGACCTCTTGCAAGGACTCTGACTTGAATTCCCCGTGCTCCACCTCCAGTAGCTTCTTCTCCAGAAATTCCTTGGATGGAAGAACGCGTTCATCCAAGTTCCCGTAGGCCTTCGCGTATGCCTGACGGAGCAGCAAGTACTCAGAGGTGGGGATCGGTTTGATCCACTCGCGAGTGTCCTGTTCAGCCTCGGCCTCCGCCTGACGTTGCACACGGACCTTGGCAGCATTCCAGGATGCAATGAAAGATGCCACCTGCCCACGGGTCGCCAGGTTGGCCGCGGGATCCAGACGGAACTCGTCCTTAAGGACCGTCAGCAGATCTGTCTCACTGGAAGCAAAGGCGCTGAACTTATGCCTTGCCTCGAGAGCAGAAACCTAAGGTCCGATGACCCCAAAGCCAGAGTGTCGGCTGGCGCCGCTGGAGGCGCCGCTCCCGGGCCTGGCGCTGCCATGCCCTACGTTCCGCGCGCTCTACACGGGGAGGCCCACTTGAGACTGAACACAAGTCCACGTTGTGTGAGCTCAAGCAATGCACAGAGGTGCAGCCGTCCAGTGAACTCAGAACGAGGCTGAGGCAACGGACTCCCTTCCCCATGTTTTCAGCTCCCGATGGAGACTGGATCCCAAGACTCCGGGGGGCTTATGCCCGCGTCACCTAGCCCATCCTCACTCTGCACCCGAAGATTCTTCGCTAGAATCGTCGCTCGACTCGTGTGCTTCCCCTGGCTCCGGCCAGCACAAGCGACATCTGTACGAGTACTCTGAAGGATCCGGCATTTCCGGAACCACACGACATTCATTGAAATGTCGAAGGCGAGCCATCCGGCTCGGTGGAGCCTCACGGCCCCTCGCCTTGAGGACACCAACACAAAACCTGAGGTCCGCTCCTCCACTGCCGGAGCCTCTTCGGGCTCCTCGGCTTCCTCCCCCTCGGGAGGCGCATGTTCGCCGTCGGAATCCTGTACAGGCGGTTCCTCGGCACTCCAGCAGGCCAGCCGGGCCTTGAAATCATCGACGATCTGGCCCGCCACTTCTGCCGTGGCTCCCCTTCGAGCGCGGAGCCACTGGAATGCTGCATCAAGGACATCGAAATCATCTACATCTCCCGCCAGGCGCTGTTTCTCAAGCTCAGCAACGAGGTACCTATGGATCCGACGGATCTTCGCAGAAAAACTCCGACTGTAAACGTCACTGCCCTCCGGACGCCAACGACCCAAGGCATCCCTGTCCCTGGGCTCCAGGCCGAAACCATCCAAGATGGTGGGCAGTGTTGCCCGCTCGCTGTGCTCCGTCCACATGTCCGTGAGCTCCTCTGGGATGAGCCTCTGCCCATCTGCCGTCGTCAGCCTGCGATTCACTGCAGCCGTCAAGGTGGCTGCCTCTGCATAACCTGCCATGCGCCGTTTG